CGTATTGTGTGGCGGGGAAGCCATGTGATATTCTTTTTACTGTTTCAGCTGCTCGGGGGCCAAGAAGTTCGAGCATGATCATGTAAGTGTGTGACTTTTTTGTGTTTTTCAGACGCTGTGCTGGACGGTAGGAGCTGTTGAAGTTTTGACTGTGGGTTTGCGCTCCCTCTCACCCACACTCTGTCTCCAAGAAGCTGCAGGGTTTTCGCTGACTTGGCAAAAGTGCGTCGCGACGCAGGAACAGAAATAAACTGTCGGCCTTCAAGAACTACAACACACACGCACATCTTGTCCTCATCGGACCTCCAAGTAAGCCGTGAGGATGAAATACTACAGTGTTGAATAAGAAAAACAGCAAAATGATGGACTTTCCAAAAGCTGACATGCTGTAGATATATTTTATGTAAATGATTGTTTGGGTTTTGGCTCCCAGCCCTTCATATAAGGGATTTATTGCAGTTTGTGCGTTCCAAGAAAAATTAGGCTATGTCGCATATAAGGGCTCCATACATCCGTCAATTTATTTAAAAACGACTGTACAATGGCTTTCCATGTGTAAGTGACGTCTGTGGAACAGCCTCTAATAAACCGTGAATCAAATATGAGAGAAGGGGGAACGATGAAAACCATTCTTGACCAAAAAAGCAAGGTAAAGGTTGTTCTTTCAACACACACGGAGACATCATCACATCTGCAGGGCTTTGGTTTCTCTGACTGACATCAGGTTTATTTTCTTTAATACGCTCATACACATTCTTGCATGTCCACTCCCACAGATTTATGTCCTTTTAATGCAGTTGCCGCTATGTGAGGGAGGTAGGGTGAAAGCTTTATGTCTGTCTGCTGTGATCCGTGGAGTAAACAGTCTCACTGTACTCTGGAATCTCGCCACTCCAAAAAGGGGCATTCAGGGTGAAAGGAAGGGCCAACATTTCGATGTGTTTTAAGGAGAACAGTTTGAGCTGTTTGATTGATTTATGTTTTAAGGTGGGGCTGTTTAATTGGTGCTTCCAGATTGGTAGCTGGTTTTATAGTGGAATTGTTTAGCTGGTTTGAGGTTTTGAGTGGTTGTAGGGCTGTTTGATTTATTTATTTTTTTATTCAAGAAGAGCTACTGTATGATACTTGAATTCATCCTAATGGGAGTTTCTCATCTGGTGCATAACCCCTACAGGCGTACACTACTGCTCAAAAGATTGGGGTCAGTAAGATTTATTTTTTCAAAGGATGCATTAAATTCATCAAAAGTGACAAAAAGACATTTTATAATTTTACAAAAAATATATATGAAAAAAAAAAATGCTGTTCTTTTGACCTTTCGAGTTCTTTAAAGAATCCTGAGCAAATGCATCACAGTTTTCACAAACATATTAAGCAGCACACAACTGTTTACTTTTTCAGCATTAGTATGATTTCTGAAGGATTATGCAACACTGAAGACTAATAATGCTGAAAATTCAACTTTGCATCACAGGAATGAAATACATTTTTTATTTTATTTTCAATTGTAGTAATATTTTACAATATTACAGTTTTTACTGTAATTTTGATCAAATAAATGCAGCATTGGTGAGCAGAAGACACTTCAAAAACATAAAAAATACTACCAACCTCAGACTTTTGAACTGCATGTGATTCGAATTCTGCCATTGTTGCTCATGGCCAGTTCATATTACACTATTTAAACCTTTACAATTACTTGAATGTACAATACTGAAATATTTTTTTAATTATTATTAGAAGATTACAGTGTTTCTTTTGAAAGCCCGTTCATGAAAAAAAAAAAAAAAAGCTTTTTGGCAACAGAATGGTGTAGTTTTGGCATCTACCAGCAGAGGCAAACTTGCCCATGTTAACCAGCCAAACCTTGACCAATTGGTTTTATCAGTTTAGTTTTGGTTGTTTGATTGGTTGCTGGCTTTAAGATGGGGAAGTTTGATTTATTGTGGAGATTAAAGCTCAAAATATACTTCAGTTTAGTTTAGTTATGTCCCCAAACTATATTGTTTACTGCCGATGCCAATACCTTAGAGCAGGGTGGCCGATGGCCAATATAAAGCCGATAGATATGATATCAGACAATCTAATTTAAAGATGGTAAGAAATTGCTGAACAATTGCTGAATTTAGTATATATTATTTTACATAATATGTACTAAATTTGAAATAAATAATTTGAAAATAAATATGATAAAAACCTGTAAAAAACAGAAAACAGATGTAAAAAACAGATTTATATTTTAGATTGCAAGTTCTTGATTCTGTAATCCATTTATAGAGTTTTTCACAAATAAAGAAATAGTTAAAAATATTAATTAAAAGATAACCCTATAAGAGTTTTTCGTATACCATTTACTTTTTTGTTTAACAGCTCTGTCTAATAATTTATTAGACAGAACTGTTAAACAAAGGCAGTAAATTTATGAAGACAGAAAATGGGAGCTCGGACATTCAGGCTCTGGAATTCTCAGTGCTTTCAAAATAAAAGTCCTACACACTATTAAAAAAATAGAAGTCATGCTTCCGACCTGTCTACCAAGCAGAAAAACATATGTAATTAATAAAATGTGATAATTAAAAAATGTCAAATATCAACCGATATATCGACCTTGGCTATATCGTTTGACGGCAAGTTTAGAACATTTAGAAATGTACTAGTCGTGATGTCTTCCTCTCGCTGTCTTTCTTTCATCTCTCTGTGTTGCTTTGAGGGTTTTGAATGAACTCTGTGGTGATTAACAGGAAAGTGAGTATCTGTGTGGTAATTTGCCAGAGATTGAATGGGTTGTCCAGTCATTGTTTTTTACAATAGGAAACATTGTGCATAGGCATGTCTGACAAACATCCTTTTGTCTGCAGTGTAGAAAACATCTGTGTGCGTGTAAATCAGTGTTTGGGTGTGTGTGTGTGTGTGTTTGTGGGGGGGAGTCACAGTACCAGACGGTCTCTGAGTTCAGGTCTGTAGTAGGTGACCCGTAGAAAGCCTTCAGGCTGATATTAGAGACAAACTCTCACTCAAAGCCTGACAGCACTCTAAATGCCTCTTGTAGACACGCACACTAATGCGTTCATACACACTCTTTCCTTTAGGGGGTTATTGGAACAATGCAACCAGCGACTCGGTGCTGCATTCCTAAAGGTTGAGGGTCAAAGGTTTAAACTGGGGTTTACCTTTTTGTGCCTCAAATTAAAACAAGCTTCAGAGACGGTGAAATAGCCCTGAGCACTTGAACTGTTTTCCTCAAGGTTAAATGCCTACGTGACACATTTTACTGTCTACCTGACACACTTGTGGTTAAACGCTCTGGGAACCCCCTTAAACCGTCAGGTACAATGCCATTCAAAAGATTGGGGTCAGTAAGATATTATTATTATTATTATTATTTTGAAAGATATTAATACATATTGATCAAAAGTGACAGCAAAGACACATATCATGTTACAAAAGATTTCTCTTTGGAATAAATGATGTTTTGAACTTTCTATTCATCAAAATACATACATGTTTCCACAAAAAGATTAAGCAGCACATTATTATCAACAATAATAATAAGAAGAAATGTTTCTTGAGCACCAAAATCAGCATATTAGAATGATTTCTGAAGGATCTTGTGACACTGAAGACTGTAGTAATGATGCAAAATTGAAATATATAGAGTAGTGGTCATTATAAAAATAAATTTGACTGCTTAATGCGTTAATTGACCTATTAGCACTGTAATATTACTTGTAGGATATGTTGTTTCCAAGAAGCTGTTCATTCAGCTAATCCTCCTTATTTGAACTCTCTCTTTTATCTCTCTCTCTCTCTATTTACATTGTTTCCTATCAAGGGCTGATTAGGTTAACTGTTTTCCCGGCCCCCTACCTCAGTTTCATGGCACCTGCAGCACTTTGAGATTGTATCGCTGTGGTAACTGGGGGAAGCTTCTCTTTTATCTCATCGGACCGTCTGGCATTCCTTTGCTGTCCAACGGCATCTCAACGAAACAGTCATGCAGCTTCAAAAGAGAGCCTTGTTCTTCAGTTGTCCTTTACAAACGGGCTGAGGCTCAGATGAAAGACACACCAAAGGCAAGAGAGACACCATCAAAATGGAAACTTGATTCGGATTGGTCAGTCGCGACATTCTGTAGTCAAATATTTTTGTATAATGACTGATAAACTGTATAATTGTCCTTTTGCTGGAATCATTAGAAGTTAAAGATTTAGTAAAGTCTTAAGTAAAGATTAAAGTAAAAAAGCAATAAATAAAGTCTTAGTAAAGATTTAGTAAAGTCAATGTAATGACAGCATTACATTGAAAAGGTAAATTTACACTGTATACAACAACAAAAACTAATATAATCAGTGAATCATTTTTTTAAACTGAACCAACGCATTGATGAATCAGAATGAGTCAGACTTCCCCAGCCCTACATATTAATCACTAATCTCAGTGAGTCATTTTTTAAAATACAAACAAATTGATTCCCTTAGGCTTAAATGACTTGATCTGCACAGCACAACATATATCTGTGAATCTTTTGTTTGAACTGAACAACCACATTGATTAACTAAAATGAATCAGAATACCCCAGCACTTCATATCAATCAGTGAATCATTTGCGTGAATCATGTTTGAAGTCAACAAACAAATAAATTTGTTAAAAAGAATCCGACATCTCCAGCACTACATGTCACTGAATCATTTGTTTGATCTGAACAAACAAATCGATTCACTAAAATGAATCAGACTTCCCCAGCACTACATATTAATCAGTGAATCATTTTTTTAACCAAACTGATTCATACAAAGTCCATATGAAATTATACAGTTACTTGTTTGAAAGAGTAGCTTGTTACTGTTAAAAGGCTTAAAGGAATAGTTCACTTCAAAATTACAATTCCGTCATCATTTACTCACCCTCAAGTTATTTCAAACCTGTATGAATTTCTTTCTTCTGCTGAACACAAAAGAAGATATTTTGAAGAATGTCGGTAACCAGACAGTTGATATGGAGCCCATTGACTTCCATAGTATTTTTTTTCAATTTTTTTTTTCATTTTTGGAAGTCAATGGGGTACATCAACTCAACTGTCTAGTTACCGACATTCTTCAAAATATCTTCTTTTGTGTTCAGCAGAAGAAAGAAATTCATACAGGTTTGAAACAACTTGAAGTGAACTATAGTGCTTTAAAAACAGTTGAACTAATGTCCCGCTACTAAAAATTGAGAACCTAGCATTGCTGCTTTAATTAGTCTTCAGCTCGGGCATGAAGTCATATTTTGTAGCAAAAATGAAATCCTAAGACATCGTCTACCTTTCCTCTCTCACGGTAAAGACACGTCCACATCGGTGGAAACCACAGGTGGCTGTAGAGGACGGAAGCGTTTTGCAGACACATCAGGGGTGAACGTGTTCCTGATTGCCTCCTGTCCGCAGCACCAGCGACGTGTAATCAGCGCTGATAGACGAGCTGCTCGACCACGGCCTGATCCAGGGTATTTTAAGAGCTAAAACGGGGCCCCCTCCCAACCCCCCACTTCCCCCCCAAATTCTGTGGAAGACCACAAGGAGACACGCTGAAAAAGGCCACATCCACAGTCCACGTTAAGACCAGACCACCATGTCTGAAAGCCATTAAGGGGTGTATATAAGATACATGCGTGTATATATAGGAAGGCACGCTCTTTCTCTCTCTCTCTCAGTTTGTGAAGTTGGACCACTTCGGACCACCCTAAGTACTGTTAGGACAAATAAGGAATGAAAGCTACACTACAGGCTCTGGTGTTCTTGGTATATGCTATAGGACAGACTGCTGTGGGACTACGGGTGAGTGTGTATTTTAAAGGATCAGTACACTACTGGTCAAAAGATTGGAATAATTAAGATTTGTAATGTTTTTGGAAGAAAAAAGAAAAAGTCTCTTATGTTCACCAAGGCTGCATTTATTTGAACAAAAATACAGACAAAAATAGAAAATAGAAAATTTTATATTGTAAAATATATAAAATAACTGCTTTCTATGTTAAAATTTTAAAATGTAATGTATCCTGTTATGCAAAGCTGTATTTTCAGCATCATTTATCCAGTCTTCAGTGTCACAAGATCCTTCAGAAATCATTCTAATATGCTGATTTACTCTGTTATTATCAGTTGCTCTTATTGGTGCTCAATTATTAATATGGGTTCTTATTATTATCCGTGTTAAATTCTAAATAGATTTGAATTGTATAGGTCAAAACTATATATTTTTTCCGCCTATGTGAACATCAAATATAAGCAAATCATTTACACTGACCATGTTATTTCCAGCTTTGAAGACTAAGACTGAGAAATTAACAGTCTGAGTGATACATGTATAGACTACTTTAATGGAGGTGTTGTATATGTTTAACTGATTATACAGTGATCACATATATTTGATTCATACAAATTTCCTGATATATATCTGATAATATCCAAAGATTGCAGAGGTGTGACAGAATCCTCCAAAACTGATATGAGAACACGGTTTGGGTGATACAGGATAAACCGGACTACCTAATACTATTTCATTTTGGGCACTGTGTGTGAAGTCTGTGTTCTGTCTCGTGAAAATGTAATGCTGAGTGTCTGGATTCACAGGAGACCCCCGTACACTCACATCCACTCTACCCACAATCCCCCTGGATTATCACATCCCTCCCTCATACTGCTGTTGCCATAGGAAACCCTTTCACCCCCCATGGTCATCTGAAGAGGTGCTGCGGTGTGTGAATTCATCATGCATTGTGTTTGTAATGGTAGAGCGATTTGGGTGAAAAGTTTGGTTTTGGAACAAATCAGATCTTGATCTTTTGTCTGAGAAGAAAGAATGTGTGTGTGAGAAGTCAACGTGCATTTCTTTTTCTTTTTTTATTACAAAATTACTGAAATTATATGAAATACTATCTGCAGCGACATCACTTTTTATTCTTTTATGATGAGATTTTATTTGACTTTATGATTTTATGAGAGCATTTTCCCCATTGATTTTGGTTTTGTGTGTGAAGGTCCTCTTCAACAGTATTAGCAGTATTATAGTATTATAATAATAGTATTATAATAACAGTATTATAATAATAATTAAAAAAATATTTCAGTATTGTACATTCAATCCAGAGTTTTATTAGGATTTTAGTGCCATGCAAATATGATGGAATTTTGTTCTGTTTAGTATTCTATTCTTTTTTTTGTCCATTTTCTTCTTTTGAGCTTTTTTAGACACAGCTTTTATTAGAGTTGTTCACAAAGGCTGCAAAAATAAATAAATAAACAAGCTGTAATGACTGTAATAGTGTTACATATTATTACCATTTAAAATAACTTTTTCTGTGATGCAAATCTGCATTTTTAGCATCATTACTCCAGTCGTCAGTCACATGATCTTTCAGAAATCCATTTAATATGCTGCTTTGGTGGTCAAGTAACATTTCTTATTGTTTTTAATGTTGAAAACAGTTGTGCTGCTTAATGGTTTTTGTGGAAACCATGATACATTTTTTTTTTAGGATTCTTTGATGAATAGGAAGTTCAAAAGAACATACAAGAATAATTTGTAACATTATGTCTACTGTCACTTTTGATCAATTTAATGCGTCCTTGCTTAATAGAAGTTGTAATAAAAAATCTTACTGACCCTAAACATTTTAATAACTTTATTTTATTTTATTAATTAATTAATTCCCCCCCAATTCAATCCAAACCAATCGATGGATCCAGGTGGCAACAATCCTCGTGTCTTTTTTTAATGTCTCTGTCTTCCAAATCAAATTGTGCTAATAGTTTTTCTTATTTTGAATTCTTCACTCATATTCTCATTTTGTCTTCCAGCAGGTGCTTGAAGGTTCTGGAGGACACAGAAGTTCACGTGACAAGGTTTGAGTACAATATTTTGTAAGTCTTTCTCACACTCTTGCTGGTCTTGTTGAACATTCAACGCTGTCGGTGAGTTTTTGACACTGAAAAACCATCGACCGTTGACTGTGCCCTGAGGCCACGCCCCCTTCAGCCCAACTGACCTCACTCGGACACGCCCACTTCTATACACGCATAACCTTCAAAGGTCATAATCAACATTCATTGCTGTCGGTGGGTTTAGTTTTGTAACAGCTCTCTGAACAATGAATGTAACTATGGCCCAGATTCCTGCCTGTCATGCCAGCGTACATCACACTCTGTGCCAGTACACCGGAGATCAGCTTTTCTGTTCCTTTCTTCTCCCGCTCTCATCCTCACGGATCTGGAGTTCTTCAAGGAAGACGCAAATAGAAGCAGCCGCGCTGACTGCTTCCTCCTGCATCTAATTGGTGGTTGTGTATGTGTGTGTGTGTGTGTGTAGCGGATAGAAGGAAATGGAGGATGAATGTGTAATCATTCAGATGTTCTTCTCATTTGGCTGTTTTGTCTCTCAAATTATATACTGTGTTCACTGCAGCCTGAAATGAGCCTAAAATGGCACCTGCTGCTGAATACTGTGTCCTCTCTGTCAGATGTGTGTCCGTTTCGTGTTTTGTGTGCACTTGCAAGCGAATGAGGTGTGAGTTTGTGCTTGTGCAACTTTTTAGTTTATGTGGCATGAGACTGTGCGACTGTCACAGACATCAAAGGAAAAAATCTCCAGATACTGAAACACAGCAACGCAGTCATTGTCTAATCCTGTCTGTTTTCTGTTGCTTATAGCTTTCATTCCTCCATGTTCTCAGCGGAACATTATCTGAATAAAATTTCTGAATAATAAAATCTCAGTGGTGCATTGTGTCTCTGTCCTGATTTTGAGTGTTTGTTGTTATGGTGGATATGCTCTTTTTGAAACCGGTGCTTTGACAGCAGGGAGCGACAAAATCCATTCATTTTCTCCATGGGGAACTGATTTTGATTAATAACTTATAAACCTTTAAAGACAGACCTACTATGAGCTATATGAAGTTGTTAATAAATGGTATATGCTTTTGTTGAAGCCATCAGCCTACATTATTTGAACTTCTATTTAAAACAATCCTGTTTAACAGGAATTCCTGGTGAAAAAGTACATTACCCATGATTCTTTAAAGAAATCTCCACCAATTAGAGAATCGAAACAAGCAAATTTTGCCAAAAGAACTGCTCACTCTCATGAAGCACTGCAATAAGCTTAAAATATATTGTGCGTTTATACCAGAGGGCCGTTGAATGCAATTATTTTCCAGGAAACGCACAGCTAGAGTAGTTCCTTGACCACATTAAAGTTCCAAAGTGCCAAATTATTTAAGTTATTTCAAAGGTCCTTTCTCTGTTTGGCTCCTGGTCGTTGAATTATTAAAAAAATAATGCACACCCGAGGTGTAACGGCCACTCCGCTTATAATAATTTAATGGCCCTTCATAATTTTTTTCCTTACAGGCCTATATATAAAACCAATGGCTTAACAAAGAGTCGTATGTAAATACCATGTGAATATGATAATAATATGGTAATATTCAATACCTTGAGTATTGGTATTGTATGGTAGGAAAATAATGTTGTTTCAGGCCCCAATCTGAGCTCTACTCCTATAATTTGAAGGCAGTGATTGGTTTACCTTTCAGGATCAGCTTAGGATGTTGAATAGCCATCTTGAGTACATTTTCAAGAGCAAATTCTTAAACAGTGTGAGTGAACCTAGGGATTCCCAGAGAATTGACACTCAGAATTGGTTGTTATTGCATGTTCTTCAATGCTATAAAGTTAAAGATGTATATAAATAACTGTTGTCATGGGTTAGTTCAATAAACCGAGCGATTGAGGTTTTATGGTTCTTTCCGAGCCCTAAAGGAGTCCGTTTCTTGCACAGCTCTGTTTGAACACAGATCCGCAGTGTTGGGATCTCACCTCCTTGCCTGGAGCTGTAAATGTAATAATCAAAAGTAATGCAGAATGACATTGTCTGTCTGAGTTATTCTCAGTGCTAGTGTATTTTTAAGGACCCCAATGAGTGCAATTTTCTTTATTTCTTATTTAAATAGGATGTTGGGGTGGGACATATCAATGGACTTATCCCATATATGACCAAAAGGCTTTATTCAACCAAGATGTGAACTCTGAAACTTATGAATATGAATGCTTAGCTTTTTAGTCTTTATCTAAAAGAGTTTTGGCTAATATGGATAGCAATTACATACGTGTATGAGTTCATGTGCCGGCGGAAGTTTGCTGCTCACTGTTGCATTAAAAGGAAAGATTAGAGCTGGGCAGTGGAGCCGTTTTGTTGCCGTGTTCCTGTTTGTGTGTGTGGGTGTTTTGGAATGTGTGTGTTTCTCCATTATTCAGCAGGAAGTCCTCTGTGTGTGCAGCCATGCAGAGAGGACCGAGGCAATGATGTCATCATGAGAGCGTCGCTGGTAATTAAACAACTCACCTGCAGGAAGTGTGTGTGTGTGTGTGTGTGTGTGTGCGTGTGTGTGTGTGTGTGTGTGTGTGTGTGTGTGTGTGTGTGTGTGTGTGTGTGTGTGTGTGTGTGTGTGTGTGTGTGTGTGTGTGTGTGTGTGTGTGTGTGTGTGTGTGTGTGTGTGTGTGAGATGTACTTTTGGGGGCAAAATTCAGGGGTGCTCTGGAATAGAAAAATGGTCCACGAAAAGAGTAATGCGCTATTCAATTTTACTAATAGCAAAAGTAGAATTTTTGTGTTTTGTATGTAGCCTAATATTATAATTAGTTTTATTTGAGAACTATAAAGTTAGTTGGAGGTTTTAATTTAAAAAGATGTCACTGTTCATTTTAGTGTTTTAGTGCTCTGACTGTAACACCAAAGATATACTGTTGGGGAAAGTTACTTTTAAAAGAACTGTGTTACAATATTGTGTTACTCGCTAAAAAACTAACTAATTGCATAGTTTATATGGAAAGTAATGCATTACATTACTTTTGTGTGTGTGTGTGTGTGTGTGTGTGTGTGTGTGTGTGTGTGTGTGTGTGTGTGTGTGTGTGTGTGTGTGTGTGTGTGTGTGTGTGTGTGTGTGTGTGTGTGTGTGTGTGTGTGTGTGTGTGTGTGTGTGTGTGTGTGTGTGTGTGTGTGTGTGTGTGTGTGTGTGTGTGTGTGTGTGTTGTTGTTGTTGGTGTTTTTTGCGTTACTTTTCTAGCCTTGGCTGGGCTTGCTTTTTCAATTAATAACAAAAAAGTTGTAATTCTAATTTAATTCAGAAGTTCTAATTTTGGCAAATGTAAAGGCCCTTTAAGGAAAAATGTAAATTCACGTCTGTACAGTAGTGGGCGCCGCTCAAACAAACCGTTCAGCTGTGCTGCCATTCTGGATTGCAGAAGAATGTCAGCAATAATAATAATAATAAAATAAAATAAAAAAACACCATTGTGATTTTTAACTAAAGTAATTTTTGCCTATTGGTATGGTTGAACTGTATCATTGAATATCATCAGCAAAGACATTAGTTAATAAAGTGAGATTAAATACATAAAGTATATTTGTGTTATTTAATTATTGCAGGTTTGCGTATTGAGTTTCATTTTGAAGAATACTGAATCTCTGTTTCTGCATGTGTGATGAGTAAATGCATGTTCACATTGAGTCTACAACTAACTACAATAGCCATCATGTTCACACAGCACACAATACCTCTGCACACTTACTCCTGATTTCTCTTAACATGGGGACAAGAGTAGCCTGGTTAAAACCAGACCATTCTCAGTTGTAACAGAGCAAATCTAAATTTAAAGTTGTCTGGGTTTTCCCAGGCTAGGACAAGAGAGCTGTCAGTCAATAAATGGGAAAACGAAATAACTTGATTTATTTATTTGAACAAGTAACTCAGGTATTTTGTTGTAAATGTAAAAGTAATCCATAACTTGTTACTTGAAAAAAGTAATCTGATTACGTACCTCACGTTACTTGTTACTTTACCCCCAACACTGCACATGAAAAAGTGGAAAATAAACAGATTTTCATAGTCGGTTAAAATTAACAATGACGTTTTGGCCAGGTGAGGTTTCCATATTCAGCTTCAACGTCAAAGTGTTAATCTAGTAAAGTTGGAAATATCCTTTCATACAATAGGCTATGCATCTTAAATTAGGCTATATTTTTGGATTGGCTAACTTTATGATGCTTTTGTGTCTTATGTTGGCTTCCGTACCCATTCATACTTGATCTGCTTTTAAATCATACGAGTTTAGATCATCGTGAGGGTGAGTAGCCTAAATAATGACAGAATTTACATTTTTGGATTAACTAGTCTGTCTCTTTAGTTTACGGTTTTCTCCTGTATTTCTGTATATTCACATAGGGCTATATCTTCTTATCAGTATGAGATAAACTGTAGCCTGATACTCTCACTCCGGTCTACAACGAAGTTTGCAGGGAATAGTAGTCTTTCTTCCTGGTTCTCATTTACTGGGATTTTTTATTTACAGTAGGCACAATTTGTTAAACTTTCCCTTCGATCATTATCAGATAGATAAATAAGGTTATAATCTTTTTTTTTTAAAGATCCGATTCGCTCATTTATACTGTGATTTAGCACCTTCTATCTGTTAGTTTCTCTCATACTGTCAGATGAGAAACACATGAAGAAAGAACTCATAAACACTGCAGTTCTGTTCTGATAGAAGATTGAATTAACAACTGAGTTTATTAATAGATCTGTTGTTATTGTTGATTATCTGACGATGAGGCTACAATCGCTGGTTTAGGACAATTTTAAATCAAAATGTTTTATTTTATAGAGTAGGGCGACACCATGTGGATCTTCTGATTATTATTTCTTTTTCTTTTTAGGCCTGTGTGTAAATTTCGTCACGCAAGAGAAGGACAATGCGTGTAAGCATTCTAAGCATTCGCTTGACACATTCTCTTTCTAGGTTTGTTTGTTTTAACCCAGAGAGAAGTTGTTCTGCATTCCAGTGCTTCTTCTTAGATGATCATATCATAGCCAATGTTATTTCCCAGAGCTGAAGCATGGGGAATTGTTCACCTAAGCCTTTAATCACCTTTCTATCATCTCGTTAATGCTCTCTGTCCAGTCACAGCACATTATTCAAATGAATTAGCCTCCCTTATTCAATCACAGCATATATTTCTCTGCACTTTCAATATGCCCTGGTGAAAGAAGGAAAAAAGCTAAGTATACTTGCAGCCAGTCTAATACAGTATACTGCAAGTGTTTTAATGATTAGTTAACTTGAAGTGTGCTATTTTGGAACAACTCATTTTGTCTAAGTATATTTTAGTTGTAATTACATTTTAGTAAAGTGTAACTTTAAGTGTATTTAGTATTAAATGCTAGATTAGTGACATTAAAGTGTACTTTATTTGTGTTACAAGTACATTACAAATTCATTACGAGTGTCTTCTAAACAAGCAATATAACATAAGTGTATTATATTTGAGTAAAAAGTATTTGCTCAGTAATACCTTTGGCTTATTCCCAATACATTGCACACGTTGTCTTCAATAACAAATACACATTAACAAACAAAATATTACTTAGCTATACTTTGTGCAATACACTAGTGTATACTATAATGTATTTTAAAAGTATACTTTCAATGCATTGTTACAATGATCATTTTCAAGTAAAGTGCAAATAAATACACCCTGAATGTTCACTTCAAGTATATTTTTCTAAAATATATTTTTAGAAAATATTCTAAAGTACAATTATTTTTAAGTGTGTTAAAAGTTGTATTGTTAAAATGGGTAAAAGCATGATGCTAATATACTTGTAAAATATTTAAGGATAGTAAAACATTTTTTTTTTATATTTGCAATGTACTATTGAAAAGGGGAATATATTTCAAAAACAATAAAGTATACTTTTTCACTTTGCCTGTGTCATATGTAAACTTTTCAAATTCAAGTTATGGTGTATTACATCTTCTAATGTGCATTTATTTTACTGCTATTGTCCTGAAACTTATATACAGTATGTATAGTTAAAATTATTACAATCATTGTTATTATTTTTTGTACAATTTAATTAAGTTTGAGCTACAAGAACCGCAATTAAATACAAAACGCAAGTTTTCAATTTACTTAAAAAAATTATTTTAATGCATTGAATAAAACAAGCAAGCAAATAGTATAAAATAACATGCATATACAAATATGCAGAGTACATATGCAGATTTCATAAAGAAAAATAGATCCTTCTCCATGAAGAGTTATTCTTGTAGTAACATCTGTTTAGCTTCAGATGTGGTCAGATTAGGTTCTTGAATGTTTTTTGCTGATTGCTTGCACTTTCTCCCTAAAATTAGAAAAGAAATAACAGAATTATTAGCTTCAATTCAATGTTGTTCAATTCATTTGTGCTTATGTATCCACAGCAATCACATCTCTGCAAGTTTACCTCAGTTTACGGATGTTCTCCATCACCCAGACTTTGGAGGGGTCTGTGCAAATGTTCTTGCCTTTGTTTGTGTGGAATCTGTGGGGTAAGAAATCATCTTTTAGTTTTCATTTTTCTTCAGGAATCAGTCATTTAATGAATAATCCACTATGAATAGTTTGCATCTTATACTTACATTACAGCATCAATGTGGCAGTTTCTTGTGATGGTCTGAATGGAATATCCTTTGATAAATTTCATTGGGATCATTCCTTTGGTGTACTTTCTGCAACACGCTGTAAACACACCAATACGAGCATGTTAACACCTACTGAGTTTTTAAATAATAATAGCCTAATGATATTTACAAAAACATTTTTACACTTATAAATGGATTTTAAACACATTTACCACGTCATTGTCCCTAAAAAACAAAACGCTTATTCCAGAAAAGGAGTAAAAACTAAAACATATTATCCATGACTATGCAAATAGCTTGATTATGAATCCACTAATAAAATAAAATAAAGGAAAGAAAGATGTACTTACAAAAAGGTGAGGCATCTGTACAGAGTACACTGAGAGCCACAACCATCAGCACGATCACGCTAGCTGAAACCCGAGTCATCGTCTCTCTGTGTGTGTGTGTGTGATCCTCAAAGCAAGAGTCAGATGTGAAATGGGGCGAGAGACACTCTAACCCTGCCTTTATAGGTCGGACATGGAAACAACCGAGACAGGGTTTTCCGTGCCTACGTATACAGATGTACATGTGTACAAACAAGCAAAAAAAATTAACTACAATGAGAGCTTATCTGGCCTGTCAGTCAAACAGGTGCAACAAGGAAGAAGAGAGGAAAAAATGGCCTGTGGGAAAGAACAGAGGTTTTTTTTTAGTGCACTTCCTGAAAGAGAGAGTGAGCCACCAACATATTTGAATGTGTTTCCTCCTGGTAAAATAATGATGTTGGAAACTCCGATGCCTTTAGTTAAAAATTGAAGGTCACTGGAACAAAGACAAAAACTCAGGACCAGATATCTGCCAAAGATAAACCTGACTGTCTACTTTTGCAAAGAGTGTTGTGGCATAAATAGATTTATGTAATAGTAAATTAATGAAAACACTGTATAATTAGACCTAAAGGGTGTGTGGCATTTATCACTTTGACGGGTATTTAAAATGACTTCTTAAATGTTAACAATGACTTTTTTTTCTTCTTTTCTTTTGTATTGTGGTATTGTACACTAAAAATATAACATCTAGCCTAAATGAACTGGTTTAAATCAAGTCAAAACATTATTTAATATTGCTGAATCAACCAAAAAAATTTTTTTTTTAAATGTACTTCACAGGAATTTGCATGTCACAGCAGCAACACATACTGTAAATGTCATATATATATATATATATATATAAAGAACATTTACACCAACCAAACACGTCAAACACTATGGCCTACAGCAAATCACTTTAATTAAACAGTCTTACAGCAGATGGACAGAAACACTTACTATATCTCAATTTTGAGCAACAAGCTAGACATACCCCACACGGTTTCATAGAGGGGGTGAGATTTATGAATTATAATGGAAGAAAGCTTCCCATATATCCCTATCTTGCCCAGGTTCATCTAAAGAAGGCAGAGGGCACCCCAGTATACTGAACTAGCCCTCCTAATCAGTTTGTGATTTCCACCCCCGTCGCCCCTTTAGAAATCCCACCACCCCAACATACCACAGTCTGGCACACACCAAACGATCTCAGTCGACTCAGCAAATGCGTATGGTTCTGATCCTTACAGAAGTAAATCATGTGATCACAAGCTTTATTGTTTAAGTCAGGGATGGGCAACTTCAGTCCTGGAGGGCCATTGTCCTACAGAGTTTAGCTTCAACCCTAATCAAACACACCTGAACAAGCTAATCAAGGTCTTCAGGATCATAGATATCATATAATAAAGGCTAGATGTCTTACGGCGGAGTCACTTCCGGCATCACCGTTCGGCCATCTTGTCACAGGCAGGCTCTGATGTAAGGTGAGTGATCAGCATGAACACTCATGTTGAGGAGAGTGGTTGAGGAGATTCCCCCCTTCCATATGTGAAGCGCTTTGAGGTCCCAGAAAAGCGCTATATAAATGTAATGAATTATTATTATTAATTATTAACACAAATCCTCTTATCTCGCTGAAATCTTGACGGATTTACAAACGGTTTGGTTTCTCACAAACGTTATTAACATGGCAATAATTCTGAATGCTTGAACATATATGTTATAAATATTAATATGTCTCTGACGTTTATAACAAACCAAACCGTTTGAAAATCGGTAGAAAATTGAGCAAGTTATGGTTATTTAAAAGTACATGCACCATTAAAACACAATGTTACGAGTGAGCGAGCTGCCTGTGACAAGATGGCCGCCACGTGCGGATGTCGACCTCCATTGGCCAGCAGCACGGACGAGACATCTAGCCTTTATTATATGATATCTATGTTCAGGATTACTAGAAAGTTACAGGCAGGTGATTTTTTTCAGGGTTGGAGCTAAACTCTGTAGGACAGTGGCCCTCCAGGACCGATGTTGCCCATCCCTGGTTTAAGTAGATTAAGATATTTATTAAATTTCACTGTTTCAAAATCCACCCCTTGAATATCTGCTGGGACAATTTGATGTGTTTTCTTTTGGAATCTATCATGATTTCTTCAGTTTTGCTAGCATTAAAGGGATAGTTCACCCAAAAATGAAAATTCTGTCATCATTTACATCCTCATTCTTTCTTCTGCTGAACACAAAATAAGACATTTTGAAGAATGTCTAACCAAACAGTTGACGGAACGCCAATGAATTCCATAGTATCAAGTTATTTGTGGTAACTTGGTATAAAAAAAAACACACACGAGGGAGGAATGCAGAGATGGTCCTCACTGCAGAACACGAAATCCACATATACCTAAACCTACCCTTACATATACCTAAACCTACCCATCTCCGCCCCCTGATCCCTAACCCCACCCCTAATCCTACCCATCTCCGCCCCTTAGATCTGGATCCAACTCCGCCCCCTGGATCTTGTGTACTGCAATGAGGTGCTACTGGGAATGCAGGAGGGTCGGTTTACTAATAACTGCGCTTACACCAGCATGACCTGACTATCCAACAGGACAGAACATACCGCAACCGGTAATTCCCACACAACACATTGCATTGTTGTTGGTGCAATGTGTATTGTATTGTGATTATTGTACAGCACTTTGGTCAGCCAAAAAAGCCGGTAGTAAATGTGTTAAATTAAACAAACTTGAACAACACAAGAGTACACACCCCCCTAGCCGTAACAACTGGAACAGATAGAGTTGTACTCAGTCTACTACAGTATTATACCCAAATACATTCAATAAAAAATTTGTTGTTATGGGTTAAATCAAGTAAAATAACAGGTTACCCTTTTTTACAGTGTATGGCATTTTAAATTTGACTAACAGTTATAATGATCAGTGGTGGGGGAAATGATCAGATTTGTACAGACATATTTTTTAATGATATATTTTTAGAAAGGCTTAGGACTATTCTTTGTACTGATGAGCACCCATTACGATCTGATTTCCAGTTAGGTTGTGCATTTTAGAGTACCTGTATGAAGTACGAAAAAACGAAAGAATCCTTTGTGTGGCTACTGAATTGTTCTTGCCCTGATGAGAGTTAGTAAAATTCATTATAATAATATGAAATAATGAAGCTAGTATTCCTACACTCTTAAAATAAATTGTTGTTGAAGGTTCTGTCGGGTGCTTCATATAGCCTACTTTTAAGGTATCCATCATGGATTTAGTTTTAAATAATTTATTTATTTTTTATTCATTTTTTATTTTGATTTAGTTTTATGAATTAACAGCTTGTAATCTTACTTTGTCACTAGAATTGTTTTTAAATTAGCTATTGAACATTAAAGTACACCTATTATGCAATCATTTGAAACATATAACCTTTTTTTTTTGGCATAAAGGGTTCTTTAAAATTGAGTCAAGAACCAAACTGCTTCATATTACCAAGAAATCCACTCCCCAATTTCTAAAGTTATCAAAAGAGTTTCATTAAGTTAGGTCTACTACACATTTTTTTGTAAATCAATTAATGCAGAAATTTGAGTTTAAATTACTCACAATATTAAGTTAATATAATCATCAACATTATTATGTCAACAGAACTCAGCAAAATAATGTTTGCCATTTTAAAGTTTTCATTAAGTCAATAAATTAGATTTTTTTATACTTGGCTACCATGCAGTTATTTAACTTGTGGTAAAAGGTCCCCTGAATAAAAAATAAAAAAACTATTTAAAGTGTTATTGACCAACATTTGTATTTATTCTCAAAGACACATGCAGCATGCATGGAATATTTTACATACTGTCAAACCACTTGGAAACACCAGTTCAGATGGAGCGATAATGATTTGCTAGAGAGTGTCACGGTCCCTTTGACTTGGGACTTTTGAAACAAAGAACCTTTTAGCAACTGGAATATCCACCAGGACTGGGACTCAAACCTTAACCTTTTGGTTATAGAGTGAATGCATTATGGAATTATGATTGTATTGTGTCTTATGAAATATGTAACAGTATAGATAAAACCACACATATGGATCGTTCTGAACTACGTACGTTCAGCGGCGTCCTCATTTCCAAATGTTAACGTGTGGTTTCTAATGCGGGTGTAGCTGACTTTCATATTTTTTCTAGGTCATAATGTTTTATGTAACTCGTGTCCTAAAATCAGAAAGTGAAATAGGTCATAAGAGTGAGAACAGAGTCTTACAGTGCTCCTTTAGCAATGAATCACTTCCCTTCAAACCCACAGCCGTCTCCTTGCACGACTTTAAACAACAATTTTAATGTCACTTAAAAGCATTGCTCTCCGTAGTGGTTTTACTAAAACATTCTTAGATTCTTTTATTTACACCTCCAGGTTTAGAGAAGTGTCATGCTGCTTGACATTTCAACTTGAATTTCTATGAAAGACACTTATGATGTTATAAAACGGGGGAGTGTCTGAAGAATTAGTTAGATCATAATAATTGTATCCTACTGTTTCTTCTCATCAGACGCTGTGATAAGAGAATGTGATGTTAGATTTCTTGGAAAGGCGGACACCTTTGACCACTCAATGTCTAATTGTTAGACTTGATGTTTAAATCATCTGTGTTATTTATATTATTTTGGCCCACACATTATGTCTTTAAATGCAATGTAAGATTTAAATTAATCAATTGATCCAATGCACTTATTGTGAATACATATTTTTACATTGTGCTAAATTTGTGATCCAAATTCAGCCTTTTATCCAGTGATCTTCATCTCCATTTCTCAGCAGCGACCGTAAACCATTAGCCTGGATGCCAGCCCCAACCCCGCCCACAACATTTTTTGGTCGGGAAGTTCGGTCTGGACTCGATCCATTGAGGAGTAATTATGATCGATTCAGAATTAGTCGGCCCAATCAAATTGCCAGGGCGGGCTTTATACGATGATGGACAGATGATCTGCAGTCATGACGTTATCAAAGAGCGCTTGGGTTGAACAGTTGAACTGGTTTCCCTCAAAGATGACTGCAGCTGGAGAATTGAGATGTATAGATTCCGCTATTGCGTCTGTTGTAAAAGAAATCGACAGCGCATTCATTTTAAAAGATGAACAGAG